AAATAAAAAAATGATAAAACATATTCACTGAATACGGGGTTTTTATTTTCGTCCATTCTCAATTGTTTGTGTATTTTTTTTCCACACCTTATAATTCTTTTTCAATTTTCTGGTAAAAAATTCCGAGCATGTGGCAAATTTTTTTTTTTTTTTCGGTTCGACCTTGTTCATTTTCGACACAAAACTCATTCATTTGTAAACGAACGAACACGACCGTGTGCGTGAACCGTAAACGTTGGACACAAAACTCATTTATAATTTTTAGTTGTAAAACAAAAATATATTTAATTATTTTTTTTTTGTTTGTTCAATCGAACGAATCTCGAAATATCAACGAACACAGTGTTTCTACGTAGACGCATATTTTTCTTCATATTTCGCATTAAAAATATATTCTTCATGTTTTGAAACTTGTCGCACATAATCCATTTTCTTTGTCAAAATATTGCATGTGCCTCAATTTGTACATAAATATAATTTCGTTTGTGTGCCACAGTTTTTTGTTATTTTTTGTTGTACTACATACTTTTATAATAACCAAGATGAATAATGTGAACATGAATTAAACTAATGGATGAATAATTAGAAAATATTTAATTCAAAAGACGAGGTCGCCCTCAACACAAGTTATAACGTAACGTTCAAACGCACATTACACCAGGGTAACTTGGAAACGAACACAGACATACGGAATTAATGTAAAGCACCATGTAGACCCTTCAACCATCTGAGTAGCCTCGACAAATTCCCGAGCATCCCAATTTTGCATCAATATATTTCCATGCCCTTCAACTACTTGTAATTCATATGTAGTCCCTTCAAACTCCAAGATTGCTCTCAAAGTGTCGGTGGGCTCGCGAAGAACATAAGTTCGCCAAAAACTAATAGGAATTGGCTGCAGTAAAGGGTATTTTTAATGTCAAGATGCGGTTGAGAATAAAATAAGAATGAGGTCAAAATAAATAAACTAATACACAATTACCAAACGCGTGCGTTCCAAATGGCTTTTCTTTATTTCTATTGTATAACG